AGGGCACTTACCCCCAAAGTTGGGATTTTCTGGAGTCAGCCATCTAACAGCTATTCGTGTACCAAGTTTCATCCTCTCATCATGTCTGGAACATAGTTAGAATTAGCGTCAGTCAGTCAGTCACGATCGTCTATATATATCTAATACTAGCGAGTTTGTTTGCCCAAAGGGCAAACAAACTCGCTATTGTCGCGCCTTCGGCGCTCTATTACCTAGGATAGTGATTAATTCATTCATTTTTTTTCGAAATGGGAAACACATATTTAAAGCACGTCCCCATTGAAATACGTCACATAAGGAGTCGAAAGTCTTGATTTTTTATCAAAATCATTACTTCTGTGATTCTGTGTTAAACTTGAAACCTTTTATTGTGTCCCTTTTTGTAAGGATGGAGAATATATTTTGAAATTCTTCCCTCCAATAATCTACTCTAATGAGGCATATTTCAAAATTAGGATTTTTCCTCTACCCAGCCAATAAACAGGTACTTCTGAGGGAAGCTTAAATTTTCTGTCTCTGTTTCGTTGGATCAAAAAAAAATCAGAAAATGGGACTGAAAAATGTACCCTAATGGGTTTTCATGAATTTTTTTATTATTTTGAACGGAGACTCCGGGAACTCCATGCCACACAGTTTCAGCCTAATACGGTACTCCTTTTTGCTGACGGGAAAAAAAAATTATTTGGAAAAGTGACCCAACCAAAAGCTGTGCTCTGAGGAGATGTATAGAAAAAGTTTAAGTTTTCCTTAAATCAACATCACGTTAGTGATGCGTGCACCAGCTGCTTTTCTAGGTCTGCCCGGTGAACTACATGCCCTGAGAGTTTCAATATTATACGTTTGCCCTTTTCACTGATGAAAAAAACATGCTTGGAAAAGCCGACCCACCCAAAAGCTTTGACCGGAGGGGATGCCCCATGAAAGCTGAATATTCTCTCAGCTCAGTAATATCCTCTCACTTATATGTGTGCCAAGTTTCACCTTTCCATTTCTGTCTAATTCGCCACAACAATTTTTTTTCTTTCAAAACATCGCCCTTTGAAAAAATTCCCCCAGGGGATGTATCGAGACTTAATATTTTTATTTAAGTCTTTGTCTCCGCAGTCACATTCATGCAAAGTTTCAGCTTTCTATGTTCATCAGTTTAACTGATGCAAAAAAATTATTTGAAAACATCTCCCTTTGAAATTTGTGCCCCAAGCGCATTTACGTTTAAGGTCTAAATTTTTCTACGGCATCCCAATAGGTAGTTATCTACCACGTTTCATATTTCCACTCCACTTAATACGCCAGAACAAAAAAGTACTTGAAACGTCGGCTCACAATAAATGCCCCCAGGGCATGGGTCTAAAATTTTGCATTTTTACTAAACTCATCGTCTCATTAGGCACCTCCATGCCAAGTTTCAGCTTTCCATGACTCTCCGTTTTATTCAAACAAAAATAATGTTATGGTGGGGAATGAGTAACGGGACATGGAAGGCAATAAAAGCCAAAAGGAAGCCCAGGAATTGAACCCGGATCTTCTGCTTGGCAGTCAGCGATGCTTCTACTACACCACCGATCCCAGCACATCCAGTTAACTCTCTGAATGCCGTCTTCATCTGTCATAAAATATATTGAAGAAAAACGTTTCCTCCCAAAATGTGTACCCCCAGGGCATGTACCTCCAAAGTCGGGTTTTTTCTGAACTCTGTATCGCAAAAGTTACTTGTGTACCAGGTTTCAGATTTCTAACCCTTCTAGAACATGGTTAGAATTAGCGTGAATCAGTTAGTCACGATGGTCTATATATATTACTAGCGAGTTTGTTTGCCCTTCGGTTAAACAAACTCGCTATGGTTGCGCCTTCGGCGCTCCATAACCTTGGAGAGTCATTAATTCATTTATTCCTTGCGAAATGGCAAACACGTATTTAAAGTACGTCCTAATTGAAATACTTGATATATTGGGACAAAAGCCTTGATTTTTATCAAAATCTTTACTCACATGATTTCTATTGTGCCTAACTTGAAATCTTTTCTTGTTCTCCCTTCTGCAAGGGTGGATAATACCTTTTGAAATACTTCCCTCCTATAATCTACGCTAAGGGGACATATTTCAAAAGTAGAATTTTTCCTTTTCTCAGCCATCAAACAGGCACTTCTGACGGATGTTTACATTTTCCGTTTCTGTTTCGTTGAATCAAAAACAAATTCAGGAAAATGGGACTGAAAAAATGTACTGAAAGGTTTTAATTAAAAATTTTTTTCTTCTGAAATGTAACTCAGGGAACTCCATGCCACCAAGTTTCAGCCTAATACGTTTCCCCTTTTTGTTGGCAGAAAAAATGTTTTAGGAAAAACTACCCACCGAAAAGCTGCGCTCTCAGGAGGCACACAACAATAGTTGACTTTTTCCTGAAATCAACATCATGGCTGTTATGCGTGCGCCAGCTACTTTCTATTTCTGCCCGATTCAGTAGGATTTGAAAAAATATTTGCAGACATTACGTCCCCGATAAATATGAACCCCAGAAATATTTTGGAAATTTATTTTTATTCTGAAATATAGACACAGGGAACACCATGCCACCCAGTTTCAGCCTGATACGTTTCCACTTTTTACTGGCGGTATGAAATATATTTGGAAAAGCAACCCACCCAAAAGCTGTGGTTTGGGGAGACGCTTTGGAAAAGTTGAATTTTTCCTAAAATCAACATCACGTCCGTTATGCCTGCGCTAGCTGCTACTTTTCTATTTCTAGCCGATTGTCTAGGATACTAAATATTCTTTAAGAAAGGTTACATCCCCAAGAAATATGCCCCCAAAATTTTTCCTGAAATTTGACATTTGAGCTGAGTGCTTCACCAGTCACGTTCTTGCCATGTTGCAACTTTCCATGGGTATCCGCTTGATTGAAGAAAAGAGAACATGTACGTGTGCCAAGTTTCACCTTTCCATTTCTGTCCAATTCACCACGACAATTATGTGAAAACATCTCCCCTTGAAATTCATGCCCCCCAGGGCATTTCATTAAAAACGCTGAATTTTGCTGCATACAACATCCCGGTAGGAAATTATGTACCAAGTTTCATCTTTCACACTAGCTCAATACACCAGGACAAAGAAAATACTTGAAAACGTCAGCACCCAAGAATATGCCCCCAGGACATGGATCTAATGTGTTGCATTTTCCCTGAATTCCCGTTTCGGCGGTGTAGTGGTAGTGCATCGGGCTGATAAGCAGGAGGCCTGTGTTCAATTCCCACTAACTCCATGCCATTTTTTTTCTTCTTTTGCCTTCCAAGTCTGGTTGCTTGAATAAAACGAAGAGAAATGGAAAGCTAAAACGTGGCATGGACGTGCCTAACGAAACGATGAATTCAGGGAAAATGCAACACATTAGATCCATGTCCTGGGGGAATTTTTTTGAGGGGCGATGTTTAAAAGAAATATTTTCTCGGCGAATTGGACAGAAATGGAAAGGTGAAACTTATCACGCGTATAACTGACATGATATTACTAAGCTGAGGGAGTATTCAGCTTTCATGGGGCATCCCCTCCGGGCATAGGTTTTGAGTGGGTCGGCCTTTTCAAGCATGTTTTTTCACCAGGTAAAAGGGCAAACTCATAATATTGAAATATAGTTGGCATGTAGCTCACCGGGCAGACAGAAAAGTATCTGGCGCACGCATCACTGAAGTGATGTTGATTTCAGGAAAAATTCAACTTTTTTCATACGCCTTTTCAGAGCACAACTTTTGGGTGGGTCGTTTTCCCAAATACATTTTTTTCCGCCAGCAAAAAGGGGAAACGTATAAGTCTGAAACTGAGTGGCATTGTGCCATTGAAATACGTGATATATGGGGACAAAAGCTTTGATTTTTATCAAAATCTTTACCTATATGATTTATATTGTGCGTAACTTGAAATCTTTTCTTTTGTAAGGGTGGATAATAAATTTGCAATAATTCCCTCCTATAATTACGCTAAGGGAACATTTTTCAAAAGTAGGATTTTTCCTCTAATCAGCCATCGTACAGGTGTTTGTTTGCCCGAAGGGCAAACAAACTCGCTAGTTCAATATGTGCACCATTAGTGATTCTCAAAACATCCAGTCGATATTCCAAATTCTGCCATGTACGCTCCAGCATTTCCACAATTTCTTGAATAGCAGCTACGATTCTTGTTTTTAAATCAGCCAAGTCTCTCACATGTTTATTGTACACATCTTTGACGAATCCCTATAGGAAAAATCACAGGGTGTGATGTCGGGAGATCTAGGCGGCCAAGGAATTGGACCTCCACGGCCGATCCACCTGTTTTGGATTTTGTCCTTTAGGGAATTGCGGACAATTTTGGCCCAATGCGGCGGTGCGCCATCTGGTTGAAAAATTATGCTTGGTTGCATTTCTTCCAATTGTGGATAGATAAAGTGCTGCAATATATCAAGGTACGTATCGGAGGTCACTGTTGTTTTATGGAAAAAGAAGAAGAATCACCCTATCATATAACCGACCACACCACACATTAACTTTCGGCCTGTCTCTACTGTGCTCTTCTGTGAATTTAGGATTTTCTGACCCCCATATGCGCACATTTTGTTTGTTAACCTTCCCCAAAACATGGAATGTAGTCTCATCAGAAAACATGATTCTTGTCAGGAAATCATTTTCCTCGTCGACTTTGTCAAGCATAGTCATCGCAAATTCGTTACGCGCGACATTATCATTTTTACACACATTTTTCATTCATATCTTATAGTTGAAAATTCGAGCTCGTACGAAGTTATTCTATTAATCGGAGTACTCCATATCGCGGTATTCGGTAATATGTAATCAACTGCGTAATAGTTCATTTGGAATCTATTTTTTTAAATATTCATGATTGACCAAAGAAACCCTAGTAGCACAAAACATTGAGACAACATTGATTCAACATCCAGACGTTGAATCAACTTTGAATCAATGTTGATTCCATGTTTTCTGGTTCTAGGGAAGTGGACCACCCATATATTTTTCAAGCAAATTCCATATCTTTAAATAGTTCGAAATGGAAATTTCATAGGACGTCGCCTAATTTTTTCCAATAGCTGTTGAAGTTTCATGCACTTTTACCGACCCATTATTAGGGGTTGGCCAATTTTGTCAACATTGTAAAAACTTCGAGCAGGCCATAATATTGAGCCAGTCCTACAATGGTTACGTTATGCTTTAGTCTCGTGCGGGAATGATTTAACTGGGCAGTGACATTTTTTCCACTTTTCAGCATAAAAAATGCAAGTCTCGAAAATTTGCGCCCGAAATCATCCCAATATGACTTTTGCACACGTGTTGCAAATGTCTAGCAAAAAGTTAGAACCAAATTCAATGGAAAGCGTTTAAGTGTCATTTTCGCTAAATTAAGTCGAATTGCAGTGCATCTACGTAATGACTACGCACTATATCCTGAGATGATATAGCAATGCTGGTACCCTCGGAAGAAACATAGACATACCTTGAAAAGGAGCTATGAAGCTTTTCTCTAGCTTGATAATAAGAAATGTAATCACAATTTTGAAGGACGGTGGTGCCATTGGGTCACGAAAGGCACTTTTAAAAAGTAATTCCTCATCTGCAGATCTAATGGATTTAAGACGAGAATATTTCCTTTATCTCATTTTCCATATATTATTGGTCCGAAGTTAATGAGCAACAAAAAAGTCATGTTTTGTAGAGTGTTGATTTGGCGTGGAATAATTATAATGCAAATCACCTTGGCAATATAGTCGACCATGCGATTATCGAAGTCTTTACCTCCCAGGTGAGAATTTCCACCGACCGCCTTCACTTTGTATACCTCATCCTCAATGGTTAGGATTGACACATCAAATGTACCGCCACCGAGATCGTAAACCAGTATTTGACGCTTTCCCTTCATTTTATTCTTGAGACCATATGCAATGGCAGCAGCAGTGGGCTCATTGATGATGCGTAGTACGTTCAATTCAGCAATTTCTGCAGCATTTATGGTAGCCTGGCGCTGGGAGTCATTGAAGTAAGCAGGTACTGTCACAACAGCGTCTTTAACCTCGTGCCCAAGAAAGTTTTCCGCAATTTCCTTCATTTTGACCAGCACCATGGAGCTGATCTGCTGTGGATGGTATTCCTTTTTTTCCCCCTTGTAAGATACCTGAGAGATTAAATAAATTTGAGTTTGAAATCCCCATTGGCTTCTTTCTTCTACCATTGAGGGCCAATGAGAGAGCAAGAGGCCTTACCCTAATCATAGGTTTTCCCTTTGCATTGAAGACTTTGAAGGGCCAATGCTTTATGTCATTCTGAACTGAGGGTTCATCATAAGTTCGGCCAATTAGCCTCTTGACATCTAAAAAGAAAAAGTATATATTTTGGCTTTAAACTCCATTAGATGCCTCCATGCATCACTCTCCAACGAGGAATACAATCGCTTCATCTGTAAATTTACTACAATTTGGGAAAAGTATATTCTCATAACCAGACCAAATATAGTGTTTGCATAGTTTTTGACGGCTTCCTTCTTGGCAGGGTCTCCAATCAGACGATCTGTTTCTGTGAAGGCAACGTATGAGGGTGTCGTTCTGTTACCCCAATCGTTGAAGATTATATCCACTGTGTTACTCTTGTATACTCCAACACAAGAGTACGTTGTTCCTAGATCGATACCAATGGCAAGGGCATCGCCCATATTTGACGTCATTAATTCCAACTGAAATGAAAAAAACAGCACACTATATAAGAGAAACTATACATTTAGACAAACCTCAGTAGCATATTACAAATTACGTTTATTCCCCCAACCTCATATCGACGCTCCATTTTCGGCCATCTACTAAAATAATATTCCAACATACTAATCCAGGAGTGAAATTAATGCATATCCTATACTAGCGAGTTTGTTTGCCCAAAGGTCAAACAAACTCGCTATAAAGGCGCCTTCGGCGCCCTGTGATCTAAGGAAAATACTAATTCTTTTCAGTTTAAGGCATCCGTTTTCAATGCTCACCCTTAGTGATGCGGTCGAACTCTTTTGCTCATGGGTTCAATTCCCACACCTTTGGCTCTGGCACCGTTAAAAATAAAGGTGTCTAAGAATATTTTCCGAGTAACACCATGTAACTTGTAGCATGAGGTTCACGAAATAACAATTCTCAGTGCGTCGTTTAGTGTTCCATTAGTGTATTCAACTCCTGCCTATGGTCGACACACTCTTGATTGCATATCAACTTCCAAAAAAGTAGAAGTGAATAAGAGCAGCCACATGAGCCACATAAGACACTTGAGAGTTTTAACAATAACTCTTTATCGACTACGTTCACCGTATGGTGAGCGCTTTCATTATCTTTATATCTATATTTAGGCACAAGTACGTTTATGAATTACCTTTTTCTGACAACCTCATGCTGAATACAGTTGTCCATGAGAATATATGTCATTCATGAAGGCAGTTTATGGGTTTTTCCCGTTCCTGCTTAGTTGAAGTGTGAGCATAGAAATGGCATTGGTCTAAGCATCCTGCATTGGACATAACCACTCTGAATCTGAATGTCGAAGGAAAATCTTCCTTGCCGTTTCCCTGCATCAAAAAAATATGAAATCAATTCGCATGCACAACCATACTGGTACGCATTAACCCAAGTCCTTCTACCTAGCCTATGACATATAAAGGCATAGGGTATGCTAAGGCAGCAAGTTTTCCGTTCAGAAAGGCCGAAAAGTTCCTCGACGCCATTCAGTCAAGATCGATGTAGGCCTGAGCGTCCGTCCAAAGGTTAGACATGGACCTGCTGAATCAGTCCCTTCAGGGCACGTACCTCCAATGTCGAACTGTTATCTGTAATTTGCAAGCCAGCAGCTGTTTGTGTTCCATCATGCTACCTTTGAAGAAGAGAATGCGTAAGAATGGTTATTGGCCTAAGCGTCCATCCATGGGTTAGGCCTAGGCCTGCGAAATCAACCGCCCTCGAAAATTGTCCCCAGCGCATGTAATCCCCCCCCATTAGTGAATAATCTAGCAGTTACACACTTCCTTCAATGACAGAGGAAGGAACGTGTCATTGAGAATGGCGCTGGCCTAGGCTTGCAAAATCAGTCCCTCCGAAATATCCCCCCATGGCATGTACCTCCAAAGTCGGAATTTTTCTGAACTCTACATCCCAATAGCTACTTGTCAGTGAGTCAGCTACTCACGATCCCCTACATATAATAAA